TTACGATCGTTAAAAAAATGTCAATTAATCAAAATGTGACACATGGCATGTTATAAATATTTTAAAATTTTCATTAAAAACTTAAAAAATTAAAACTAAATTTCTCTATAACTCCACAAAACCCCTAAAATCTCTAATCCTAAATTTCATTACCGTTGTTAACCTAAAGTTTTCTCTCTCGTGATCTTCAAAAGAGTAGTGATATAAATATTTGATGAATTCATTCAAGTGGTAATTTAAAAGTTTTATTCATTGGTGTATTATCTATTCAAAATTTGAAAATTGTATTAAAGATTGAATTATAAATACTTAAAGATCTTATGTGATATTATCATGATGATAGTAAAAATGTGGTGTACTATTTTTCCTTAATCGAAGTTTTGTCTCATTGGATTTTTCTGATAAGGTTTTTAATGAGGTAACTGTTGGGAAATAAAGCCGAGTACAAGTAATTTTCCTATAACCAGATTAGTGAGAATGCGAACTAAAAGCAGAAAAATAATACCCGAAATTGATAACGGAGTTCAGCCAATTTTGCTTACGTCTCCGGACTGCTGCCTAAGAGAAAAAATTTACAGGTGTTTACAAAACACTCACTACTCACAAGAAAGCTCTCTAGTATTGAGAGAAATAAATGATTTGGGATCATTTTGTAGCTAAATGAGCTAAAGTATTTATAGTTGAAGCTTAGGGACTAATCTTTGAAAATACCCTAAAGTGCAATGACTAAAAGTGTGATTTAACCATTACAAAAAAAAAATCAACAATATCAGCCCCCTTTTGACTTCCTCATTTTCGGTGCCTACATTTGAAAATCAAGCCAAATATTGTTGAAAAAACAGCCCCTCCTTTGTTGAAATTACAGCCCCTTTCTTTGACTTTAACAATCTCCCACTTGAAGACTGATTTCAATATTTCTTCACACATAGACCAATGCAACACTATTTCTGGTCTTTTTATTCTAGCATGCCAACTGAAGCTGAACACAACTTCAGTTTGTCCGTGGTCACCGTCTTTGTTAACATGTCTGTCGAATTTTGAGCTCTACTAATCTTTTCAAGTTTCAAAATCCCATCTTCCAGAAGAGACCGAATAAAATGATATCGCAATTGTATATGCTTCATTCTGGAATGAAAAGACAGATTCTTCGCTAGATGGATAGCACTTTGACTGTCGCAATACAATATATTGTTTTCTTGTTTATTGCCTAACTCTTCCAAGAGACTTTGGAGCCAAACCATCTCCTTGTTGGCTTCCGTAATAGCGACCTATTATGCTTCAGTTGTGGAGAGAACAACTATCTTCTGTAGTTGAGAAACCCAACTCACTGCAGTTCCTCCTAGAGTATAGACATACCATGTAGTGCTTCTTCTGATGTCGATATTTTCGGCTAAGTCAGCATCTACATAGCTTGTCAGTATTGTATCTCCACCTTTGAAACAAAATGCTTTGTTTGTGGTACCTCGCATATATCTGATGATCCATTTGAATGCTTCCCATTGTATCTTGCCTGGGTTATTCATGTACCTGCTAACAGCTCCCACTACATGAGCAATATTTGGTCTGGTACAAACCATGGCATACATTAGACTTCCAATTGCTGAGGCATACGACACCTTCACCATGTGTGTATGTTCTTTCGCCGTCTTTGGTGACTGTTCTTTGGAGAGTCTAAAATGAACACCTAAAGGTGTACTTAATGGTTTAGCATCTTGCATGTTGAACCTGGGGAGTACTTTGTTGATGTACTCAGCCTGTGACAACATCAAAGTCCCTGACTTTGTGTCTCTCTTGATCCTCATCCCAATAATCTGCTTTGCAGTGCCCAGATCTTTCATTGCAAACTGCTTCGACAATTTTTGCTTCAATTGTTGGGAAATAAACCCGAGTACAAGTAATTTCCCTATAACTAGATTAGTGAGAATGCGAAATAAAAGCGAAAAAATAATACCCGAAATTGATAGCGGAATTCAGCCAATTTTACTTACGTCTCCGGACTGCTGCAGATCTTTTACTAAGAGAGAAATTTTACAGGTGTTTACAAAACACTCACTACTCACAAGAAAGCTCTTTAGTATTGGGAGAAAGAAATGATTTGGGATGATTTTGAAGCTAAATGAGCTAGGGTATTTATAATTGAAGCTTAGGGACTAATCTTTGAAAATACCCTAAAGTGCAATGACTAAAAGTGTGATTTAACCATTACAAAAAAATCAACAATATCAACCCCTTTTGACTTCCCCATTTTCGGTGCCTATATTTGAAAATCAAGCCAAATATTGTTGAAAAAACAGCCCCTCCTTTGTTGAAATTGCAGCCCCTTTCTTTAACTTTAACAGTAACATGTTATGTGTATTAAGTATATGTGTATTATTTTTCCTTCGTTAAGATTTTTTTCACAATTTTACCTTAGTAAGATTTTAACGATACACATTATCTTCATAGACATGAGAGTGTGTCGTGAACATTTGTTTAGGTTTTTCTTTCCAACCGATTGCTCTTTTTTTATATTTGATTGACATGTGATGATACTAGTCTTAATGATGGCCGCCAATGGCGGAAATTGGTAATAGAATTGGGGGCAACTTAATTTTTTTTTAATAGGGATTTAAATTAAAATTTTCAAATTTTTTGAAGGGTTCAATTTACTTTTTTTTTTCAAAAAATTGGGGTAAAACTAAATTTTTTGAAAATTTGAAAGGCTTAATGGAATTTTTTAAAAATTATGGAAGGGTTTAATTAAGAATATTAAAAAAATTTAAAGCTTAAACTGGATTTCTAAAAAAAATTGTGAAGGTTAAATTAAATTCTTTAAAAAAATTAAGGGACTAAACTATAATTTTTCAATTTTGAAGGGGCCATGAACCCCAACATGCCCCTCTTATATTTTGCCTCTGATGGTCTCTGACCACGTGTATTTCTTATTTTCTTTATATGACATCTCTGATTCTCTTTTGTTTTTAATTTTTTTTTAATAATTTTGCTTTTAACACACATTTTCATATGCTTTTTATATGTTATCATTTTTTTTATTGTTATTTTCATTTATTTTTTTAAGGTTAGATTTAACATTGCATCGATTAATTAAGATGGTGCTTATTTACCATCATGTTGATATTTCTTACTTTTGACTCTCGAATTAGATTTTGATATGTTGTTTGTGTTTGCGTATAGTTTTCTCTCATCATTCAACTCTAATTCGCGGTTTTTCGGTAGTCTTTTAATAGTTAGATTTCATTTTTATTGTTCGTTTGTCAATATAGTTAAATTTGTTTGTATCTATCTTTTGTTCGAGTTTTTGGTTGTATTTTTACTTTTTCCTTATATGGTATTTGTATGATATCAAGTGACTAACTTCTTGTATCAACAGGGAAATATTCTAATTATGTATTTAGTTTATTATTATGATTATATAGCTTCATTGTAATTCTGGATATTTCTCTTTTTAATAAAACTGGTGACTTCATATCAAAATTATTATTATGACTTTAGTATTCATTAGAATTTTATAGCTCTATACGGTATATACTCATTATGCCTATAAATATAATATTTGGAGAAAACTTTGTATACAATTCATATTAAGATAATAAAACATATTTCTCTTTATTCTCATATCTATTATTCTCCTTATTTTTTTCATTTTATTTTTTATTTCATAACAACTATCAAATTATTTAATAGTAGATGAATCAATTTAAACTAATTTATGTGATAAAAAGATTAATGTAAGTTAAATTTTATAATAGAGATATTAAATTAATCATTATTAATAATAAATAAATTAATATCACCTTTATAATAGAAATACCTGGCACGTGTAAGAAATTAAACTTGTTTTTTGAATACGTGACTTATTCATAACAATTTATTTAAGTAAATATGATGCTATAATTTATTTAACTAGCGAATTTTAAATAGAGATAACTAAACAGTAGTACTGTTACATATTATTTGTAACAATTTTTTTTAACTCGAGTCGAGTTTTAATTTTAAATTTTAAATTCGAGTTTAATTTAATAATTTTAAACTCGCAAACTTCTAAATCGAGTCAATCAAGTTATAATCCTAAACCTAATAAATTATCATCTATATTTTTCAATAACGACCAAGAAATGTGGTCTGGATTAATAAGATTTGATTTTAAGAAATCGAGTGTTCATATTGTTTTGTGTCATTATTATTTGCAAATTATTTGTTTATATTTATTTTAGTTTAAGTTTTATATGTGTTATATTTAAAATTATTTTAATCTAGATGTAAATATATTATGATTCTGTTGGTTTGTATATTATAATAATTAGTTTCCAATATAATTATATGAATATTCTTTTATTAATCCATGGTATTACAAAATAATATTTGATCTAAAGATTTTATAATGAAAGTTTAAACATTTTTATAGTATCTGATGCTCAAATTTAGAACTTCTAAGGATAACAATAATACATTCAACCGCTTAAGTAACTTAGTTCGTGCGTTATATGAATAATTAAAATTTAATTTATAGGCTGGGACATATCTATCTAGAGGTTGGGAGAGACCATTGTTTCTACTAAATTTTTTTAATATAATAAAATTTTAAGTCTTTTTTAATTTAAAGGTTAATCAAATGATACTTTTGTTTCTCTCAATTTTTTTATTTAAATATTAATGGATTTTTTATATAAAACAATTTAAGTCTTTCTTCATAATCATTATAATTAAAATATAAATTCTAATTATAATCCTTTTAGTAATTTTATCTTTAAATTGTATTATTATTATTTATATAATTAATTATATTCAATAAATTAATTTAAATTATAAATTATAAAAAATCATTAAAAATCATAATATCAAAATTTAAAATTTTGATTACAATATACCTCATCTCATTTGATAAGTAGAAACTTTTACTTATTTTCATGGAGCCTTTGGGCTTTAGCCCATCTCTCTAATCTTTATTTTCCAAAAGAAACCCAGGACCGAAAGAATATTCTCAAATCCATTCTCGCCGCTTCACTTCATCTCAATTCCAGACACGGATGTGGTATTTTCTTCATATTTCTCTCTATTTTTGGTTGTAATGATGGTCGCATCTGCTTGTAATATGCCTTTTTGTTCTTACTCAACGTACCCATTCATCAACAAGCAAATTCACCCAAAATCCTGGGGAAGTGGAAACCCATTTATTATCCCCAAAACAACCAGCAAAACCCAGTTCTTGTAAACTCAGTAAACAACCACAAACTGCCTTCATAAATGCAGAGGAAAGAGGGTTAAAAGAAACAAATGAAGAAAAAAGAAGGTTTAAGTGGGTTGAGATTGGTCCAGACATCACAGAAGAGCAGAAACATGTGATCGATAAGCTTCCGGTTAAAATGACAAAGCGAAATAAAGCTCTGATGAAACAGGTTATTTGTTTCTGTCCCCAAAAAGGGAGTTTGAAAGATTTATTGGGTGCTTGGGTCAAAGTTATGAAGCCCAGGAGAGCTGACTGGCTCGCCGTTCTTAAAGAATTGAAGATAATGGAACATCCTCTTTTTTTCGAGGTATGGTTTACATTTCTCATTATTTCAATTCATTTCTACATGTATTTTATTAATGGGTTAATGCATTTTATTTTACTCTGATTGAGAATAAATTGGTTGAGGTTCTTTTGATGAATTGTATAATGTTTGGAAACTATAATTTTTCGACAATTTCCAAGTTCCAACTCCATACATGATATTATTCTGAAATGGCTGTACTTGTGCATTTGGTCTTACTAGTTCATTGGTAGGGAATATGGAGAAGGGGGCATTAGGGGTTTATTCTATGGTGCTAGGACTCTTCATTTTTTTAATGAAATACCTGTGCCCGACACTTGATATGTGATATGACCTCGGAGTATCCTTCGAATATATGGAACAACTTAGAAAAATCTAACCATATCTGCATCCGACACTTACACCCGATCTCGAGTAACATAGGGTGTATTTACAAATGTAATGTTTCAATGCATGTATGATTTGTTTACTGGAATGATATCTTGCTTATACAGCACTGGTCAATATCGACGAGGAGTAGTTATTGTTTTTTACTTGTTGATTAACCTAACATATTGGTTGTGTGTGTGTCGGATATCTGGCACGGGTAAATTCAACCTTTTTTAAAGTTTTTCCATTTATTTGAATGATAGATGAATAGTTGGAGCAAAATATGTATAGCTTCTGCGGGTAGCTTGGAGATTATAAATCACAATTAAGACTAGTTTATTACTTGTGGTTCTGAATTCAAAACTCCTTTGGCTGCACCATGGCAATGAGGGAAAGAAAATGGTGTTTGCTTCATGTCTTATTGTTCTTTATCTAGGTGGCAGAAATTGCGCTGCTTGAAGAAACTTTTGAAGCCAATATTCGTGATTACACTAAGATAATCCATGGTTATGGGAAGCAAAACCGGCTCCAAGAAGCTGAAAATATTCTCGTTTCCATGAAGAGAAGAGGTTTCATTTGTGATCAAGTAACTCTAACCACCATGGTTCACATGTACAGCAAGGCTGGAAATCTTAAGTTAGCTGAAGATACCTTCGAAGAGATTAAGCTGCTTGGCCAACAACTCGATAAAAGATCATACGGCGCTATGATTATGGCTTACATCCGAGCAGGAATGCCTGAACGAGGGGAGGGCTTGCTTAGAGAAATGGATAACGAAGAAATCTATGCTGGAAGTGAGGTTTACAAGGCCCTGTTGAGAGCCTACTCCATGAATGGTAATACCAAAGGTGCACAAAGAGTGTTTGGTGCTCTTCAGATTGCCGGTATCTCTCCCGATGCTAAACTCTGCGGGCTCCTGATAAACGCATATCAAGTGGCGGGTCAAAGTGAAGAGGCACATATTGCCTTCGAAAACATGAGGAGAGCTGGTCTCGAGCCTAGCGACAAATGTGTAGCGCTGGTGTTGGCTGCTTATGAAAAGCAGAACAAGCTTAATAAGGCCCTGGATTTTCTCATGGATTTGGAGAGAGATGGAGTTGTGGTTGGAAAAGAAGCTTCAGCTATACTGGCTCAATGGCTTAAAAAGCTCGGGGTAGTTGAGCAGGTTGAACAAGTCCTGAGAGAATTTGCTGCTACATAAAACACATGCCAAAGTTCCCACAAGATGCATTGGTGTTAAAATATTCATCTTTAGTGTCTTTATCACCATCATCTTGTGTTCCAGCAACCTGTTGTACTCTTGGCTCTCGGCATCTTTACACTGTGGTTGTTCGTTGCCTTATTTTAGGTAAGAGATTTGTCCTTCTATATAACTATACATGTTTTGGGTATAGTTTTGTTTTTGCTAATTTTAGCACTTTTTACTGGATAATTTTGACCAGGAGTATGAACATTTTCCCTTTTGATAGAAAGACCGGTAGTATCTGTCAATGGATTTTGACATTTGGATCTGTGTTACATTTTCCCTTTTTCAAGGTAATACTTTGTACTGTTGTTCATGGTTATCGTCAATTGTACTTGTATCTGCAGAGGAGATCTCCAGATTAATATTTTCATTATGTCATAGAGTGTATCAACAACTCCACCAATAATATAAGAGCTACTTGTACAATATATATTCGAATTAAATAAATTGTATGATGCAATTGTACGATACACGTGTTATTTCTTTTATTTATTTTACAAATATGTGATAACTTGTGCCCAACAAATTAAATTGATTACAATTTATCTGATAACCCAATTAATATGTGTTATTAACCATCAATGATTAAGTGTTAATAGTAAGTATCATTGTCATTAAAGTGTAATACTTTAATTCAATCATTCTTGAATTCGGATAATTCTAGTGTTATACGGAATCAACAAAGTGACTAATCATTTTCCTTTAAAACATTTTTCTTAAAATCCCACAAAACATAACGACATAACCTTTAATCCAAAATAAATAGTATAGTTTAAGTTTACAAAGTATGAATCTCCAAATAGTACAAATCAAATGTTCAAAATAAATTTAAAACAAAATAGTATTGCGACTGAATACAAGTAAGGTCTATGATATATATGTCCACTAAAATAGCTCGAGACATATTTTGATCAATAACATCTACAAATCTGACAGACGATTGTGCTCCTCGATCCTCACTTAAATCCACGAAAGAGAACACACTCCAAACGATGAGCTCACCTACTCAATATCATACAAATAATTCTATCGTATTACATGCATTCATAAAACAAGTATGTCAACAAGTATTGACAAAGAAATAAATATGGTTGATGTCTATTCTATAGTAAAAGAACCGATTTGTATCAATTTCTATAATAAAAAAGTAAGTAATTTGTTGGATTCAAATGAACCCATTTGAATCAATCTCTGTAATAAAATAATTTTAGATCCTACCGAGAGACAAAGGCTGTCAAAGTCCAAAGTTCTAACCACTACACCATAGAATCAATTTGTAACTAATAGGTAGCACCATATACTTCATTATGAACTTGAAGTTCATTAAACAAAATACCTTAATTTCCTTAAGAATGTGCAAATCACCTTGGCTAATGTTAGATTTAAGTTGCCTTCCAAAAGTTATCCGATGTTATGATTTGGATGTAATAGCATGTAATTATATAGATGCAACGTGCGTGACCAATTACTGTAAATTATGATTTTTATTGAATTACTGTAATAGCAGTGTCAATAGCTTGAGGAGCATAGTTAAGCATACGTACACTCTTTAATTTTTGGGTGAAGGATTTGAATTGACGTTACACAATTTATTAAACTCTTCATATTTTTATGAAAATCATCCTTATCTTTCTCATATTTTGTCACGTTTTTTTTCCACAAATGTACACATTTGCTTTTTATTATTGTCATGCATATAATTTACAATGATGTATCATTGGTTAATACTGCTTGTCACTACTCTCTTTAATGCATGAAAATGAAATTGAAATTATAAATATTGTTCACACACACACACACATATATACATTATTGTGCGTGTTGGTTAGTTTTAAATTTGGTAAATCTTAATGACAATTTTGTAATCGTGGGAGAAATATAATGACCATTTTGTAACTTCTAAAGTTTCAAGGACCAAAAAATTATTTCAATATAGTTTAGTGATTATTTGTGTACTTTTACCCTATAGTTATTTTTTCAATAATTTGAGATGATTACAAGGTAATATTTGTTCAGAATTTTCCTAACTTATTGACAACGCACACACATCTTGTAGACGTCACAGCTCGAATCCAAAACTCTTAGGGAATCGAAATTCCCTTTTACCACTGAGGTCTCTTGATGGATTCCTCTATAGTTATTTAATAGTTTATAATAGGAGTGTTCATTCGGTTAAAACGATGGTCGATCGAACCGAATTACCATTAACCGATTTTTTTTCTTTAACCTTTAACCGAACCGAACAAATTTCGGTTAATTTTCGAATTAACATAAATTTTTAAAATTTTTCTAAATTATATAAAAATGGAATATTTTTTAATTCAAAAAAACAATTTACAATTAATTTAAATAATATATAATTATCAAGTAAAAAATTTATATGGATTTTATAATTAATTAATATTGATTTAGGTTTAAAGGTTATTGGATTCTAAATTATTAATTGAGTTTTAAATAGTTTGAGCTGGGCCCATATATTATATATACTATATTTAATATTTAAAGGTTAATTCGGTTAATTAACCGATTTCGAACTAAATTAACCGTTAATAGAATTCTAAAAAAACCTTAACCGTTCTCCGACCGAACTAATTCGGTGGCCGACCGAATTAACCGAATTAATTCGGTTTGTCGGTTAATTCGGTTAAAACCGAATTTTGAACACCCCTAGTTTATAATGTTATAGTCAAGTCTAATAATATTTGTCCCTATGCATGAAACCAAACGATCTCAATAATTAAAGGGATGGTTGGTATTCTTAAAAATATCGGATTTGAGCACCAACAACTACATAATATTTGAGTGTTAATTGTCAAATTGATGAGAGTCTTTAGAACATATATTACTATTTGTAATCACCCTAGATTAACCCTAGATTAATAAAAAAAATACTTTGTAACTATTATCATTAATAAATGATATAGAAATAATTATTATAAATGTTATGAATAGATAATATTTAAGTTTAGTTCAGTTAACGTCGTTGTTGCTAAATCATACATGAGGACATGATCTTCAAAATGTTTGATCCATTCCGTATTAATTTGTTTAACAATAGCCAATGAGTGCTGACACAAGTGGTTGAGATTTCAGAATTTGAACTTGTAAGGTCAAGTTTGAATCCTACCATTATCACTTTTACTGGGCAATTTGTAAATTCGTAAATCTCAATTGGCCTTAGATATGCCCCTGATCGAGGAAGTCACCCTTTGACCTAAACTTTTCATTTTGGATTATTTAAAAAATGTTTAAAAGTAAACTTGGATAATTTTCGAAGAGCATCCTTTTTAGTTTTAAAATTGGCAAGTTGATTAAAGGAATAAAAGAATATATTAATTATTTTTTAAAAAGTAATTAAATATAATTTTTAACTGGCAAGAATTTTTTTGAAATATTAAAAGGAAAACCAAATGAACCTTATGACCATGTGGTTAAATGCCCAAGCTGAATGAATTCGAAAACTATTTATTATATTAACACCATGTTTTAGGTCCTACCCGGAGTCGAACCCATGTTGTTGGTTGCAAAGTCCAAAATGCTAACCACTACACCATAGAACCAATTTATCATTAATATGTAACATCATATTCTTCATTATTGACTTGCTGTTCGTTAAATATAAAAACTTTAATTTCCCTAAAAAGTGCAAATCACCTTCACTGATGTTATCTCATATTTAGAATTTTGTTGATAGAAGGCGTCTGAGATTCTCTTTCACACATCGAGAAATGAATAAACCGGCAAATAACATGGCATGCAAGGAATTTTGTTGCAAGCTAAACACAGTTCTCACATGTAATCTTCATTTTCATTCAAATATATATATGATGTGATCCTGTCTAGCTCCAATTTTCTCCATGATTTGATCACACCATGGAGGTTATTCAAATCTGGTTCTAAGGGAGTTATTCTATACTTTATCTTATATTTATTTATTTATGCACTATATATTATTATAAGCATACATTTGCAGATTAGACTATACCTGAATTATCATAACATGTGCATTCATTCATTATATGGTTTGCATCATTGATTGATATTCAAGTATATAATCTATAGTTATAATAATAATATCTATTCATTATCATATGATGCATGAGTTAGTTGCCAACTTCTCCATTATTAAAGAAGTCTGGTTAGCCTTACATCAATATATCTTGTTTAATTAATTAGAATTGAAGCCAATCAATTATACTCTTTGATTCTTAGGTGAAGGATGTGAATCGGTATTACACAGTTGATTAAACTCTTCATATTTTTATAGAAATCATCGTTAACACATCATCATCATATTTTGTCACATTTTCTCACAAATATGCACATCTGCGTATTATTATTCTCATGCATATATATTTTACACTGATATATCCTTGATTAATATTACTTGTCACTATTATCGTGAATGCATGAAAAATAAATTACAACTATAAATATTTTTCATATATATATATATATATATATATATATATATATATATATATATATATATACGAATTTGTAATATTTTTTGTTGCAACAAAAAATTATATTATATGGTTTAAAGTTTACAATTAAAAATCCTAAAAAAAAGTAACATTTTCGGTTGCGATGGAAAAATATTTCATTGTCCAAATTAAAAAATTTATGCTCAAAATAAAATTTTTAGTTACAATTAATTTATGTTATTTTTTAACTTTATATTAACAAATTATATTTTAGAATTTGATGGTTTCTTCCATTTTAAAGCTCCAAAATCCAAATAAAAATCTCTCTGACTTGCGTCAAGTAGTAATGAATTCCAAGTCTTACCTTATCGGCTTATTACTTGCCAACTTTTATATGATTCAGGACCGTCTTGTAAATTTTGGTGGCCCTATGCCATAACTTTAAAATAGGCCTTTTAAAACTAAAATATTAGATATGTAAAGAAGTTCACTAATATTTCAAAATTTATTATAACTATAAGAAACGTTAAATAGTGGTAAAAAATATCTTCATATAATAAAGTGAAATACAAAGTAAGTTATTCTCTAAATAAATTCGTTCTCCTAGCATTTTTGGAAGCAAAGTTATTGACTAGCTCTTTATAATCAAGACTCTCCAATAGATCGTTTTCAATAGCTATCAATGCCAATCCATTAAGTCTCTCTTGTGACATTGTGGACCGCAAGTAAGACTTCAATAACTTCAGTTTTGAAAAACTTCTTTCTGCAGATGCCACCGTTACTGGAATAGTCAATAGTACTCTAAATGCAATTAGTGCATTAGGAAAACAATCGACCTTTTTCATAA